CTAGTGGGTTGTTATAACATTGGCCATGACTTATAGATGAGACTATTGAACTGAATCTGATTTTTGCATTAACGGTTTATCAGTGAAAGTTTTGTTATACTTACATGGTTTATCTGGCATGCTAAAAGTTTTACCCAAGGGCTATCCATATTTACTTATTGAGATATTTTATCTCATAGTTTTCCTTGTCCACCATTTCAGGAAGCGAAACCGAGGACGGGAAAATCAAGGGGAGTGACGAGATAGAAGGCTAGCCATTTTGTAAAGTGAATATAGATTTGAGACATAGATCATGATCTTGTAAACAAAAGTTTAATTGGAGATTTTATAAACTCAATTAATGGATTGTTAGTTATAAGAGATTTGACCTGGAGATTTTGAGGTTAAGTCATGTGGACATAGAAAAGAAATTTTGAAATATCCGATCTGAGTTGCGGGATTGTCAGATGTGAATTGGATAAGTTCCGAGCCTTGTGTATTTGTGGGACTCGTCTCACGAGTGCACGGCGTCTGTCGCGTCTCGGATTTGAGTTCTGGGGCGTGACAAAAAGAAAGGAGAAAAGATAAGGTTTGGGGAAGAGTAGGAGGGCTATTAGGTAATTTCATTCCAACTTAAATTATTCATAATGAAAATTGTGTAATTAAACAAGTTTTTAATGCCAATGTGGATAATAATTTCTATCCACATCATTAATTTTCACATGAGAAATTTCCAAATCTTTAGTTAAAAGGAACAAAACTATTTTTGCTATAAATTAACATACTATGTAGGTTAGTGGCAAAACCATATGAGTAGAGGTTGAGTAGGAAGCCTACCTCAAGTCTCAAAAATTAGAAATAAGAGGTATAGATAAAGATTGTGGAAGAAAAACATGTCAAATGCACTTTTCTAAATCTTATTGTACAACCAAAATAGAAAAAGTTGAGGTTGAAAAAAAAATGCCATGCCTTCCATCTCTCTCTGTTTTACCATTAATGTAGGAGAAATATTAACAAAAGGATTACAAAGGGTTAAAAAACTAAATTTTGAGGGATTAAAAATGAGACTCTTATTTTGTTGAGGGATAAAAAAAAGGGGGTTTTGCAAGAAGTTATGTTTACCATATAAAAATATAATAGAATTGTACACATATCACATAACTATTATGTTATCATCTCATGTAATAAAATTTCAACCATACTAGTTAACTTCATCTAATTTTGTATATTATCAAGCTAACTATTGAATAAACATATAGAATTATATTTTATTTTAGAGTAGAGGTCAAGTGAATATAAGCCTTTGTACTTTGAAAATTTATTTATTATCAATTTTAAGCATTGCTTCTTTTTTTTTGTTCATTATGGTTTTGTACTCTCCCTTTCTGTTTGTTACCTCCTTTTATTTTATGTTTTATGTTTCTTAAATTAACGACTTTAGTGTCACATCATCAAACACCATTAACTTGATCATTAAATTTAACTAGTTTTTTTAATTAATTTAAAAAATTATATAAAATATAGAAAATAAAAAGTCTCAATTCAAGTTGTTAAAATATGTGATAATGGTCCCTTAGTGCATTAATTTGAGTTTAAGCATATTAAATACATTGTACAAAGTAAAAAGATTGATTTTCTTAAAAGTCAACTTTTTTATGTGGTTGATCTTCTTTTGAAATGATTGAAAAAGTATCAATTATTGAATTAAAATGTATCTTAAATGATGTTGTAAGATAAATGAATGTTTTTATGCAAAATGAGTTATTGATTATGCCTTGGATAGTAAATAAATTCAAAGATTTTAAAAATGCTAAAATGCATTGTACCTAAAAGTAACTAAAAGAAAATAAATGTGATTTACCAAAAAAAATTTGATAATTAGATGGATTGAAAAATGCATCAAGTATAAACTTACAAATGTAAAACTATTCCTATAGATTTATATTAAACTATAAGAAGAACTGACAGACTTAACTATAATTCTAGTAAATATATTTAAATAGTTAATTGTAAACTTTTAATAAAAAACTTAATTATCTAAATAACCTTTTAAGAAAATAATTAAAATAATTAACTTAAATAAAAATTAATTAGTAAAGCTAATTACTAAAATAACTAAAGTCTAAGTGGCAACTAAATAAATTACCTTTAAGTATGATAACTAAACTAGATATATTATATCGAAAAACTAAATTATTAACTAACTACTAACCACTAACCAAACATTAAAAATTAAGAATTGAAAATTTTGTGAGATATAAGTTGAACTTTGAAAGAACAGTAAAAGTTAGGTCAGCATATATAATAAAATATTTAAGAAAGTAAAGCTTGTTATAACATTACTAACTATTTGAGAAGCGCAAAGATGCATAAGATAATAAGATTATTTCTAATTAAAATGACAAGTCACAAAACTTTATAAATTAATGCATTATTTAAAATAATTACAAGATAAAGGACAAACTCCTTTTTAATTTAAGGAAAAAAAAAAGAGTTTGTCCTTAGGTGGTTAAGTGAGAGCGAGGTCATTAAGCTAACTTTAGTAGTTTTGCTAGCAGGTAATGTTTGATCAGTTGTAGGAATGTGTTGTTTTGTAAATGACAAACCTATTAAATAGGGTCTTGACAACTTGTATCTTAATTTGAGTTAAATTGATTTTGGTATGAATCGAAATTCTTATTTCAAAATCATAATAGAATTTAGTTTTGTCCACTGTTTTAAAAATCAACCCAGAGGTCAAACCGTTTTGACCTTCAGTTATCAATTTGATCGGTTAACCAGTTTAATCATTCGAACCACCAGGTCAACTGAATTGAATAAAGATGATATTATACAATAACTTGACACATAATATGTAGTGGTTTTGCTGGTTTGTTACCTTTCATCATTATGCAGAAGACACAGGTTCAAGTCTTGGCTGTGTTAAAATGCAATTATCTTATTTTTTACTTCTAACTTATAATATATTAATGGATTTTTACAAATGTAAAATATACAATAAATTTAATTTTTAATTAATTTATATAAAAAATTATAAA